AGCAGGTTTAATAAATAGTTTAAAATAAAGGAAGTTTAAAATAATTAATATTATAAGTATTATTAAAGCTTAAAACCTCTAGGAACTGCTTTTATATCTGCAGGCAATATAAAAACATTTAAATAAAATTAAACAGCTGGTTTAGCTTATTTTTAGCTTATTTAATAAAATATAAAAAATAAATTTATTAAAAAGCTTAATTAATATTATAGTAAATATATAGCTATTAAGCTTTTTATAGTTAATTTATGCCTAAATATTATAAATATTTTTTTATATAAATATAGTATTAAAGTACTTTTATTTTACTATAGTATAAATATTATATACTTAAATATTAATTTAATAGCTAGTTAATTTAATAGTTAGTTATATAGGTGTAGTAAAGCAGTAATATAAAGGGTATATAAATATAGTTATATTATATTTATAATTATACTAGCTATAGTCTAGATTTTTATAATACTTTAGCAGTTATTTACTTTCTTTTAAGGCTTTAGTAATTATTATTTATTTATAGCTATACTTTTATAATTTTTATATTTAAATACTAGTGCTTTATATAAACTAAAGCTGCTTAAATTAATTATATTAAAAAAAATACTTTATTTATTGCCCTTTATAAAAATATATATTTTATTAAATAATTTTAAATTTAATTTTTTTTATAAAGGCATTAACTATATTAAAAAAAGCTTTAGCTAAAAATATTAAATTATTAAAAATAAGCAGGTTTAAGATTGCTTTAGTGCCTGGAGATATAAACTATTAAATAAATAATAAATTAATATTTACTAGCGCTAGCAATATTTAAAGCAACTATATAAATAGTAAGCAGGGCAGTAAGTATAGTAAAGGAGAATTATATATATTTAAGCTTAAAAGTAACTAGCTTTATTTCTTTTACTATACTTATATAATTAAGCAAGGTTTATAGTTAACCTTTAACCTTTACTAATAACCTCTTATATAATACTTATAGTAGTTTTAAACTTAATCTTTATTTTTATTAGCAGCTAGTTAAAGGAGGGCTATAATTTAAGCTTAAGAAAAAAAAAAGTAAATATATTATACTTTAGGCCTAGTATAAGTGCTTTAATCTACTGCTTTTGCAGTTATTTATAAAAGATGCTGCTATAAAAATATATATTATAATTAAAGTAAAGGTTTTAAAAAGGCTTATAAGTATTTTATAAACTATAAAAGAGTAGTAGAGTTAAAAACTTTTATAAATATATAATAAAGAGGTTATTAAATATATTATAATTATTATATTTATAATATTAGCTAATGCTTAAAGTTAAATTACTAGCTAAAGTTAATTATTTTTAAGAAGGTTATAATAATATTATTTTATAGATTTAATATAGCTATTTCTAAGGTTTATTTTAATAACTTAGCCCTATAATGTATTATAGTATTCTTTAGTATTAGCATTTTAAAAATAAGCTTTATAGCTTAATTTCTTTTAGTAATTAATTACTAGAACTTAAGCTTTATTATTACTTAACCTGTCTAGAGCTTATACTTTAAAAAAAAGATATTATAAATTAAATAAAAATATAAAAAATATAAAAGAAAGGGTAATTATAAGCTGTTTTAATTAATAGATTAAAAAAGCAAAAGTATATTTTTAATTTATAAATAAAAAAGCTTAATATATTTATATATTTTTTTAATTTATAAATTAAAACAGCTATAGACAATAAGGTAATAGTACTTTAGGTAAAGGTAGTAGAATTTTATTTAAGCTAATAATTTTTTTCTAGCTAATAAAAAGGTATAAAAAGTTATACTAGTATAAGGTTATGCTTATATAGTAAAAGTATTATACTAGTGTATTAATTGCTTTATTAATAACTATATTATTATTTTTTTTAATAAAGTATTAAATATATATTAATATATTATTAATTATATAATTAATTATTTAAAGTTTTATTAAAGCTTTAGCTATAAAAAAGTTTTAGTTAATAATATTATTATTTTTTACTTTTTATTTTTTAATAATAGCTAGTATTACCTTTTTTTATTTAAAGTAATATTTATTATCTTTACTATCTTTATATATCTAGTATTAATTATTATAATAGGCAGTTTAATATATTAAATTATAGCTAACAAGGCCTTTATAAATTCTTATATATTTTTATTTTTAAATATTTTTATATAGTTAATATAGCTTAAAATAATTTTTTAAAATATAAATGTTTATTTTATTATAATTAAAGTATTTAATTTTTTATTATTTAATAGTATTTAAGTTTATTAGTCTTGAGTGGGTTATTGCTTTATATTATATTAATAAGTATAGCTTTTTTTTTAATTTACTTTATAAAGGATAAATTTATTTTATTTTTTTTTCTTTTATTTTTATTATTATTAATAAAGGCATTTATTAATTTAGGTTACTTTTTTAATAAATTTAACTAGTAAATTTATTCTTTTAGTTTTATAAACCTTATTTTTAACTTTATCTTTAAGTCTTTAATAAAAGTACTTTATAAAAGGTTATAAATTTTAATTAAAGATTAATAAAATTTATATAAATATTAATCTATAAGCTAAAGCAGACTTAATTTATTTAAGGTTTATAATTATTTAAATTACTTTTTATTTTTTATTAATATATTTATAAATAGATTTTAAAGCTTTTTTAAACTTAAGGTATTATTTAATAATTTCCCTTTTATTATTACTTATAGCTGCTGGGTTTATAAAATAACCTTTAATTTTTAGTTTAAGCTATTACTATAGTGCTTTTTTACAGTAGGTTATAGTATATAAAACCTTAATAATATTTATTTAAAATTTATTAAACTTAAGTTAATAATATATTTATAATTTTATAAAAAAAGGTTTAAGTATTTTAGGTTTTTTAATAAAAAATCTAGGTTTTTTAAGCTTAATGTTTTTTAAAGTAAAGGCTTAAGCCTAAAGTTTTAAGTTTTTAATTCTAAATACCTAAAGGTATTTAAAAATTATATTTTAGTTAAGTAGTCTTTAAGTAATACCTATAGTTTTTTAATTATTAGCTATAATATTTATTACTATTTATTTATAAATTATAGTATTTATTTAAATAAAAGTTATTAATATATAATAATTTATTCCTTAGATCCTAGGTTATTATTATAAAGTAAAGAAATTCTTAAGGAATAAATATATATATTTATATTAATAAATAAAATAAAATATTTTATTAAATATATTTATATAGTTATATAATTAATAAATAAAATATTACTTATATTTAATAGTATTATATCATTAATAACTAACTATTTAAGCTATTTAATAAATATATATATATATTTTTATATAGTAAATTATATTTATAAAGTTAACTAAGGTTAATAATTAACTTATATTAATTTATATAAAAGTTAATGCTAAATTATTATTAATTTATATATAATTAGTTATTTAGTTTATAGTTAATTTATAGTATATATCTTAAGCTGCAACTAGATATATTAGGTTATAATAATTTAATATATTAAATAAAAAAATTTTTAAATATTTAATACTTTAAAAAGTAGAATTTTTTTTATTTAAATAATAAATATAGTTTTTTATTTTAATAAAATAAATAAAATAATCTTAAGAAGAATATTTTAATACTTTATTTTTAAATAAAATTTTTTATAAATACCTGTTATAATTATTAATTAAAAAACTAAAATTATTAAAGAAAGAAAACTAATATAGCAAGAAAAAGAAAGTAAATACTTATATTTAATTAAATAAAGTCTAAGGGATAAAACTAATAAAAAAAAGTATTATATTATAACCTAACTTTTAAGGTTATAATAATAGGCTTACAGGGTAGGCACAGCTGGATTAACTAAAATTTAATAAACTAATTAAAAATAAATTAAAGATTTATTTATTAATTTAACTTAAGATTAATAAATATTATATTAATCCCTAAAAGGGTTAATAATTATTATTTTAATTTTATTTAAATTAACTAAATATATAAGTTTACTTCTTATATTTATTTAAATAACTTAAATAGCTAATTATTAATATAGTTTTATATTTATAAATTAAAAAACACTTTTAATCTTTACTAGTAATTATTATTATAATATTATTACCTTTAGGTTTTTTAATTTATTTACTAATATAAACCTAAAGAATTTATTTTAGGTTTATCTCTTAGGAATCTACCCTATACTAACTATCTAGTATATAGTTTGTTATATATAAAAACCTAATTTATATATTAAAAAAAATAACTTTTTATATTATAAATATATATAATAAAAAAAATATTATATTGTTATATAGGTTTAATATACAATACTTAAATAAAAAAAAAGAAATATATTAAAAATTTAAGCTATATTTAAGTAAATTCTAATATAAAAGTTAAGTTTTAGCAAAAATAAACTTAAATTAAACCTAAAAGAAAAAGCTTTAATAAACCTAGTATAATAGTATATAAGTAATATATAAAAATTATAGTAAAATAATAATTTTTTTAAAAGATATTAATATTGTAATAAATATTTATTTACAGTTACTATAATATTAGTTTTTATATTAAATTATAATATAAACTTTGTTTTTAAAAATATTATTAAAATATATTTTATAAAATATATTATTTATAAAATATATATAATATTATATTTTATTAATACTCAAATATAAATTATTAAAAATTAATAAAAATTAAGTTTTTAAACTAAAACTATATATATTTTAGTTATATTATATTTATTATAGTTTTTACATTATATTTATTATATTTTATATATTTGTTAATATTATATTTATTAATAAAAATAAAATAAAATACAAATTAAATATTTTATCTAAAGCCAGGAAAATATACTTAGGCCTGAGAAAACAAAAGCACTAGACTAATTAGAGTTTAACTTTAAACTAAAAGCCTCAATCGGAGCTTCTCTTGCTATTTAAAATGCCGCATGTAATATTTACTATTGTATATATTTAACATTTCTGTTCAATTTTATCTTTTTGTAGTCTTTTATCTTTATTTTACTGAAACCCGATTTTCTTACTAAATCAAACACTAGATATCGGCATACCCTATGTCAGCTCCAAAGTTCACACCCGTTGGTCCACAGTCATATGACTCTACTTACGAGAGAGATCCGAGGCATGTTGAAGTTGACAGTTACATTAACTTACACCTTTTGAGTGATGCTAAGAACTCATATAACTCGGCAATGGATAAAATATATCGTGATTCCATTGCTGCTGGCCTCCCGGACATTGCCTGTTCCCCAGCACAAGCCAAGTTTCTCATGCTGCAAATCCAGATTTGCAATGCCACCAACATTCTCGAAGTCGGTACACTAGGTGGTTACAGCGCCGCGTGGATGGCGTTAGCTGGACCATCCGTCAAGGTAACGACAATCGAGATAAACAAAGAGTACGCTGCTGTGGCATCCGACAATCTTGTCGAAGCGGGCTTGAAGGACCAAGTTGAGATCCTGCAAGGCGCTGGCCTCGATATTCTTCCACAGTTGGCATCACAAGTTGAGTCTGGAGCACGGCCGCCATTCGACTTCGTCTTCATTGACGCTAATAAGCAAGACAACCTCGAATACTTCAACCTGGCAGTCTCCATGACAAAGCCTCATACAGCTATTATTGTAGACAATGTTGTTCGGAACGGCAAAGTTGCTTCTGCCTACGAAGCCGAGAAGGACGATCGCGTCTTGGGCGCTCGACAACTAATAGAAGGGATTGGAAAGGATGATCGGGTCGACGCAACAGTAATTCAAACAGTTGGTGAGAAGAACTACGATGGGTTTCTGCTTGCTATTAGAAGATAAGGCAAAGAAAAGGGCAGCATGGCTAGATCCTTAACAACAATGGGTTAGGTCGAGAGATTGCAAGTTGATTTAGGCAATAGTATTTATTTGGTAAATAAAATAACAAATGAAATAATTAAACTATTACTAGCTAAAGCTTTTTTTAAATTTTTTTAAAAAAGTCTAAGGTAATTTACTGTAATTTAATAAGTTAAATATCTTGCTAGCTTAAGTAAGAGCCTAAAACTTTAAACTAGCCTGCTTTATGCTTTTTTTTTTTTTTTTTTTTTTTTTTTTACAGTTTTTATTTAAAATTTAAAACTAATAAATACTATAATAAACAGCAAATTAAAAAAATAATAATATAAAAGGCTTATATATATTATTAACCTATAGTTAGCTTAAGTTAGAGTATTAAATAAAATGCATTAGTTCAATCTAGCTATATAAATTATATAGATTTATTATATATAACAGGTCCTGTCTCCCGACTTCTCTCTTAGATAAATAAAACCTTTTATTATAATTAATTCCAACCTCTATGGTTTACTTTCCCTAATAATAGTTTTTCCTTAGGACAGCCTGTTGCTACTGGAAGTCCCTATTTCTTATTGCCAATGCAAACTCTTGCATTTATAAATAACTAAAGCTGGTTTTCCATTTAATATAGTTGTAGTTAATGCAACAAGCTCCGGATAATTATTCGTCATGGCTGAAGCAGGCTGTTATAGGCCGGAATACATGTTCTTGGGCTTAACTAATAACTTATAAGCTGCACCAGGTCCTTGTCCTTAAACTACAGGTTATATCTCTAATCCTAAGATCTAAGAAATCCTTACTGACTATAGCTAGATTAATTATAATTTTATTAACACTGCTAGCAACACTAATATTCTTGTCTACAAAATTCAGTAGGCCGCCTAGATAAGCAATGGCAGTAAGGCCATACAAGCATCGTGTTACAACCTGGTTTACTGTAACAGATAGATCCCTTATAAAGCAGCTGGTTCCGTTACAGTAACTGCTACAATAGTGGTTATTGGTCTAATCTTTTGCCCTGTTTGGCTTAACGGTATAACGGATCGTTACACATCGCTTTACAAAAGCCTATTAATGGGTGGCACAACCGACTGGGCCACTGATTCGAGATAGTACAGTAATCAACCCTTTGTTATCTTAAGCTGGGGTCTCCTAATCGGCGTCATCCTGGATATAGACCCCAAGGAAGAGGGCACCTGTTACGGCGACTGGGCTAAACTAAACTGTACGGACCTAGAAGTGACAGATGCCCTGTAAATGAGTTGCTCTATGCGCTGGTTAGAGTTGGACGCCAACGATGCTGGGAATGACGTCCAACTGTTTGGAACTTTACAGATAAGACCACTAATGTCAGCTTGTCCGTCATGAACACACTCCATGCCACTGAAGACGCGAACTGTGAAATGCACTCCGAGAAGGAATTGTGACCAGACTGAAGTTTGTACGTGGTTTGAGGCCCTAACAACAGGTTTGCGGCCTACCTTATCTATAATTCTTTCACGGTAGTCAACTCGGTAAGCCTCGCCTCTCCTGCTTCCAGACAAGATGTGATTGTAAGAGAGAGAGAGAGAGATCGTCGGAGTACACTTGTTACCATGATTAAAAGTAGCTGATATAAAAATACAACTTAGATGTACGGTCAATTCTACGATGCCATCAGTAATGCAGCTTCCACGTACACTAGCTATCTAGTGTACAGTTTATTATATTTACTTTATTGCTTAGTGCTATTAAAATCAATGCATTAAAGCTGGTTATATTTACACTAGACTAGTTTACTAAAACTATAGAGTATAGCATTGTGCTTATTAGCATCTGAATAATTCCAAGTATACAGCTTGACAACTAGTTGGAGGGCTATAGCAACTATATACTAAAGCTATTGGGAATGCCTTTACTTATCAAATATGCCGTTAACCAGAGGTGGAATCCATCTAGCGGAAAGTGCAGAGTGCTTACAGCCGGGAAGCGGCCGAGGGGAACAGCCCGAGCTACTTTAAGCTAGGTATTATCCCGGATAGTTCAACGGTTCATGATCGGTGGTGGTGAGGGATGGCAGACCACGCCGGTGCAAGTCATAGTGCGGCTGCGTAACTACAGCATGGCCGCAATCAACAGCAAAGCAACTCTGGGGTGGGTGATCTGGAATAAGGAGGATGCTCTGTTCACAGGCATACGGATCAGTGTACCGGTCGTGCAGGTGAAATATTGTAATATAGGAAAATATGCTTGTTTAGCGTACGGAGACGTTTCTCATGCATGCTGGACCACTAATAATGGGTTCCGAGAAATTCGCCATTAATAATAGTGGCTGATTTTAGTCGTCTCATTATTGAAGATTCAACCCACTTGGTGTGTTAAGTATTCCCGCGGGAAGTTACTCCCGTGGGATGTTTGATCCAAAGGTGAGGGATACCCCAGATTTCTGACTGTCGTGATTCTACCCCGGATTTTCTCCGCATTCTCTCATTTAATATATCAGGCCAATAGATCCTATATTATAATCATGTTAAGCACATCCAACTCTGTCTCTACCGACAAATACAACGCCCGCTGAAATTCATCTCGACCTTTTCACCAACTCGGCCGCGCAGTATGGGTAGACGTGCGGCAAACTTAGATCTGGGTATCCCAGCACCGAAGGAGGTGTACGGTTACAAAGTCTATTTAATAGCGCTTATCAGCAGCATGGGAGCATTCTTATTTGGATATGATTTGGGCTTTATTGGCACTGCCATTTCACTCCCCTCGTTTCAAAAGTAGGTCACCAGCACTTGTGCAACCCTTGCGAAGTAAATCACTGACCGAATACTGTTAACATATTTTCAGGGACTTCCGCCTTACCGACAAAACCCAGTCGGAAAAAGATGCCTTCTCGGCAAATGTAGTCTCGCTTCTCCAAGCCGGCTGCATCGTTGGTGTGCTAGCTGCCGCCCCATTTAGTGATACCTATGGACGACGACCAACCCTGTTTCTGACTGCACTCATTTTTAATCTTGGCTCAGCATTACAAACCGGTGCAAAGGGCTCTTGGGCATTAATGCTTGCCGGCCGAGCGATAGGAGGCATTGGTGTCGGAGCTGCGAGCATGATAGTGCCTGTCTATGTCGCGGAAGCATCACCGCCACTCATTCGCGGCCGTCTGGTCGGCATCTACGAGATCTTCGTATCAGCTGGTACCATGTTGGGCTTTTGGATCAACTACGGCCTTGCGAAAAATGTGCCGCCATCATCGAAGCAGTGGATCATCAGCTTTGCTGTGCAACTCATTCCGGGATCACTATTGTTAATTGGCACATTTTTTATTCCAGAATCACCTAGGTATCTAGCTCAACATAAGGGTCGCGATAAGTGCATTGCCTCTCTTCAACGCCTCCGATGTATTCCGTCCGATCATCCTTATATATTGGAAGAGGTGCATAGTATCCTTCAGCAAATTGAGCACGAAGAGGCCATTGCAGAAGGACACGGCATCAAGACATTTCTCAAGGAGCTCACCAAGCCGGGAAACCAAAAAAGGCTCCTTATTGGTTGCCTTATGTTCATATTTATGCAGATGGCAGGTTCCAACGCAATCAATTATTATTCGCCAGCCATTTTCAAGAGCATTGGTCTCACGGGATCAAACACAGCCTTTTTTGCCACGGGTATCTATGGTGTTGTCAGGTTTGTAGCCATCATATTCGCCATGGTATTTGTCGTGGATCGATTTGGAAGAACCAGAACCTTAATGGCAGGAAGTGTCGTAATGGTGAGTAAAATTGTGCAGATTCATGTCATTATTTGTTATATTTTTTATTACAATCAACATCAAAAAAAGAAAAAAACTAAAAATCATGCAGGCATTTGCAATGTGGTACATTGGCGCGTATGTCAAAATCGCTTCCCCCGGCTCTGGTGGGTCCTCTGGCGTCAGCTCCGCAGGCTACGCTGGTATCGCCATGATCTACATATACGCTATCGGGTGGTGTTTCTCTTGGGCCGGTATCCCCTGGATTTACGCCTCAGAAATCTTCCCAATACGCATCCGCTCCCCTTGCGTGTCTGCATGTATAGCAGTTCACTGGATTCTCAACTTTGTCATTGCTAGGAGCGTGCCATACATGATCTCAAACATTGGCTACGGCACGTACTTTCTCTTTGCGGCTTTTATAACCATTTCAGTACCATGGGTGTTCTTTTTCGTTCCAGAAACTAAGGGCTTTAGCTTGGAGGATATAGACGTATTGTTTGGCTTGCCTCAGATTGAGCACTTGTATCACGACAACGGCAATGCGTTGAAAGAGCCAGAATGTAATGTGACGCACTCAGAGCATTCTAAGGCGTAGTTTAAAGTTAACTCAGATTCTGCAGCTGTGTATAGTTCCAATGTTAATAAAGTTAATGCGCTTTTCGGATAGTAGGTTATTTTTTTTTTTTTTTTCGATTATTGGAATATATATATATATATATATATACATTATGAAAAAGATATTCATAAAATTATAATTTTTATATTCTTTTAAATAGATTAAATAGATAAATATATGAATTATAATAAAACAAAAAGTATTACTTATTTCTTCATTTAGTTATTTAACTAAAGGTACTTTATCTTTATCTTTTTGTATCCATGTTTTTACTGGTATATGCAAGACCCTAAGTGCTGTATAATTCTTTCTACAAACACTAGTCTGGCAACACCTCGTCTGAATATTGAGTGAAGCAAATTGGAGTAACAGCTGGCTGAACTTCACGATCTACAAACCTTTCCCCCGTTAACAGAGACGTGCATATTGAGTTGAGTATTGGAAAGTCTTTATTTCTGACCGGCCATAGGGCAGACCTTTTGAATTGTGGCAAGCTTATGACACTGTACTCATCCACATGTTGTAATGATTGTAAGGGGATAACCACATGGGAGAGTTCACGTTTGGTTGTATTCATATTATGCTGGCCAATGATACTATATATAATAGGATACGTTGCCCTCGAATAGTTTTCGTGCAGTGCGTGAAACAGCACAGCTTTGCACCTCTCCATTGCTATCAATTGTGGTAAATACTTCTATGACCCCTTTATTATGAGCTATTGCAAACTTCTTCTCCACGACTGAGCTTTTTGATGCTCCCTTTTCTGGCCTCGTAGAAGAGAAGGAAGCGACTTCATTAGGCGAGTTTTGGCACAACCCGGCTGCGACTGTGCCTTTATAATTCAACGCCGTCGCCAGGCATACAGCTCCAGTGAGTTGAAAGCTTGGGTGAGGAAGACCCATGGAGTATGACTGAACCCGAATATTAGCCTGACCTAAGCCGCCCTGTGAGATTGGCGGAGGGTACAGGAGGGCAACTTTTGGCGTCCCTCTCGTCTTGGATGCGACTTCCACGTTTGATGCTAGGCCCATAGCAACAGCACCTTCACAGCGAATAGATTCAATAATAGCATGTACAGCCACGTCAGGTAACGAGGGATCTGGTACAGGCATACTTGTAGCATCGATGAAAACAAAGGGGTTGGCTGCATCGATTAAGGTCACTCGCACATCGAACGGTGCCGCTCCCGTCATCAAGTTAGGGTATGGCATTATGCGCAAAGTTTGTTGCTGCTGACCTGAAGGGAATAATTTCCCCGTCATGCTTCCAGCTGGATGCAAAAATGCACATCTGACTTCACTGCCCGGGGAGGGAACTCCGGGCATGGCATAGTTGCCAATTTCCAAGAAATTGCCAGCTTCGTCAAGCTGCATCGTCTCCACGATTATGCTATCGGTGTTCGTATTGTATATCCGGATGTCCATCTAAGCAAAAGAATCAGCGAAGAAGCTCTGTCTATTAAAGGCTAGCTAAGGGGGTGTCACACCTTTTTTTCACCAGGCCTGCGTTTGACAAGACCACTTTGCAAAGCATAAGGCCCTACGCCAGACGATACATTGCCACATGTTCCTGTCATGTCTATAGAATCTCGCCCCACTGCGACCTGGACGAATGTCCAGTCAATATCAGCATCAGGGCGGTCTGACACGGCTACCACGGCGACCTTGGAAGTTGTAGACAAGCCACCACCAATTCCATCAATCTGGCGAGAATCATTTCCCCGAGAACCCAGAGCGGAGACTAAATGCCGTCCCCACTCAAGGGAACTACCAGGTAAGTTCTTTCTGTTGATGAACAAAGCCTTTGAGGTACCTGCACGCATCCAAGTACACGGCAGCACGCAGTGTTTGGGTGGCTGAGATGGATTCTTGATAGCCATTGAGGAAGCTTTGGTTCGAATTTTATTGGCAGGTATGAGAAAGTTATTGGCGTATCCTTCGGTAATATCAATCACCTGAGCTGTTATGCTGTGAATCTCTCTCGCAGCTAGATATGACGTCCCTCTCGCGAAATGAACAGGAGACGAAAGAGCGGAGAACATGTCTTGTAGGAAAAGGCCAATTTCGACATGATGAACCTACTTGGACTCAATTAAATATATGTTAATTCTATCCGAACAGTCTCCAGGAAAAAAAAAAAGAGAGACGCACATAGGTACATAGAAAATGCAACCGAAGCATGGCGGCTGAAGAGAACTACAGATCATCATGGCGTTGTCCAGCATTCCCGCGGGATGGCCATTGATCCCGCTTCCCGTGAGTCCTTGATTGCTAGAAGAGTGACCCACCATTTGCGAAAATAGTGCCATTGAAGCCGAAGAGTGGATCATTGATGGACACAAGCCCGTCAAGTTGTGCTTCCCGTTCCCTTTCCCGTACACCCGTTGACCATTGCGACTCAACACTATAGACGTCTTCGCCAAGGCGGGAAATGCCAGAAACATGAGCGACATCGGCCGGGTAGCCGCGATGCTCATGGTTATTAGCCAATGCCATCCTGCAGTGATCACATCTCGATCTCTCTGTGCTGTAAGCCATTGCCGGTTTTGGGACAGACGAATTCCCATCCTCCAAGAAGCTCTGGATTATCCCATCAATATCCAACCACTCTGAGTTGGAATGATGCATCACCTCATTGACATTGACTGATGTCATATTTGAGGAATCTGATTGCATTAGGTTTGTTAACGTTCTAAGATGAGATGGTATAACCTCAGACCTCATTTGACAAGCAGATGGAGACGCATTTCCGCCCACCTGCAGTCGTTGCTCTTGCGAAGCCATTGGAGACGGATGGGCCATTGCAAGATCAACAACCACGCCGAGTCGTTTTATCAAGGTCTCAATAACAATGGCAGCCTTCTGAACGGCGTAGTTGGTTTCCTGGTTTTCTTTGAATACCGCCAGGCAGGTAGCCAAATCGGCAAAAACCTTAGACTCGCTCCGACGTTTGGCGGCAATCCGCACAAGTATCGTAGCTGCTACATATGTGGCGTACGATATCAAGTAAGGTGCGTGCCGTATAGAAAATGCCCGATCATAGGCCAGAAGAATGTCGGCGATATTGGAAGCGGCAGTCGCGCATTTCATGAAGGAATCTACTAAGATTGATCGCGACGTGTTGTACAAATGTCCATCGGCAACAAACGGACGGTGCAGAAGAATAACAAGTACGTTATGCATAGCACTGTAATCAAGTCAGTACTCTGGATACTGGAGACTAGCGTCTGGTTGGGAGGCTATGTGCTCACTGCAGACTAAAGACATGTGGTGGTGGAAAGGCTCCTGCACCTTCAGGGTCTAACAGGTTCAACTGAACGTGGCTAGGAAGTGCAGCCTTCCAATCATCCAATTTGACTTGCAATCTATCCAACATGCTGGCCAAGTCGGTTGGGGATTGGTCAACACAGCGTTCGGTATAAATGCAACTTAGAATGTCGCTCATGGCAAGTGAAAGTCTGCAGAGCGCGGAAAAGGTCGACACGCTATACGCCGGCGACCCAGAATATTTAGGCGTGAGAGTCGAATAAGCAAACGGCTGCCAGTCTTCCAGCTCTTCGTGTGTATCTAGAAATTTGATTGGCACTAGAATATCTGTATCTTTGAGACTCACCGGGCGCCCTTGATATAGACTTTGCATCTTGTCAATTACAAAAGCCCCCCAAAATACTCGTCTTCGAATCTCTAGGTCTTCGTCTGAAAAGCGCCCAGTTTTAGTCAAGTCGACATGCATGCCGAGGTCAATGATCATTCGAAATGCCATTCCCGAATAAAGCCATGCAGCGCTTCTCTCGTCTCCCAGGGCAAACAGCGAATTTGTCATCTGTAAAAGGGCCTGGATGGTGGTGATGCGACTTGAATCTAGCGAGCCACCAAGGAGTTCTCGGACACGCTCACGAAATTTCCATCCAGCAGTACGCACATCGTTCGGGTCTTTGCGGACTTCGAGTCTGAGACTGAACTTCGACGCACCGAAGTAAATGGCATTCAGAAGAAGCTTGGAAAAGTATGGTCCTCCGCACGCCATATCTCGCATAAATGCCGGTCGGTACGTGACAAGAAACGAATGATGCTGTCTGTTCCAATGTATGGAAAGTAGATGCATGCCAAGATCTGGGTCAACTCCGTCAAAGTCAAGTCTTTGTTGTCGGAAGTTCAAGTCCTCCAGCTGGCGCTGTTTCGCTGCTTCAGCAACCAGACCTTTCTCCACCCATTCATCTGGGATCCGAGGCCCCGTATCTACTTCAACCTGTTTCTCTGGGGCATGGTCTTCATACAATGTGCTCGTACGACTGTGATAGGTCGAAACGCCGTCGGCAGACATGAGAATCCTAGCAACCCCCGCTTCAACTGATGAAGCTCCAGCTTCGTTGCTACCCGAGGCATGTTCATCATCCACCGGTGCTGATTCGGTTGCGGACGCACGCCATGGGGAGGATGCGGCATCTTCGCTAGTGTTTGGCGACGTGCGAGTCTTGAAACGATGTCGTCTACGACCAGTCTCTTTTGCAGCTTCGCCTACAGGTTCGTATATACAACTTTGGCCGTAAGATTGGCAGTTGACACACACGGGTCGCGCACCGTTACATTTGATCTACCAAGCAAGACAACGAATGAATAACAAGGATTTCATAGTTGGTCGATGCCGAAGCAGAACAACGCACCTTTCGCCGTCTACAAAAGCTGCACGCTTCAATTGCCCGACGGCGTGACTTTGAACTTGGCGCAGAACGGGAAGCTCCCACCCTCTGCTGAGCTCGAGCTAACATTGGAGAACACGCACCAAATCTGTGACATAAAGCCTATTACGTGTGGAGAAGTCAAGAGGCTCGACTACATGAAAGATTGGATGCAAGAAATGGCAGGAGTTGTGGTTGTTTCTAAGCCATTGGTGACTCTGTCTTTAAAGGATAAAGTTGGTGTGAAATGCTGTTGGGGTTGGCGACGCTTATTTTCCATACTAGCGCGGACAGTATGGAGCATATCCATAGATGCCAAATTCGTTGGTTTTCACTAGTGCCATGCTAACCTGGAGGTACACGCATAAATATATAGGATATCAAGACGATTTTCTAAGCCAAGTGTTTGGAAAAGCCTACATTTATTTATTAGCTAGATCTAAGGTTACATTTTTTTTTTTATTGAAGTGATATAGAGCTCTAGAATTAAATAGAGTGTCAACATAGTTAAAGCTGCGTATGATACTTCTCTTAGATTCCTGTCCAATTTGGTTTATTTGAACATTATAGTACTTTGCAGTAAAATATATCCCTTTAAGGAGCTGAAGTTAGTAGAGTTGGAAAGTTAAGGCTATTTGCCATAGGTGTATTTCCTCTTTAAAGAGAGGAACAAAAACGCAGCCTTAATAAGGCAAATTTGATGTTGATTTTTCTAGTGAACGTGTATTATAGTACGCTGTGTTTCGGAACCCTCGTGTACCTTGCCGACTCAGAAAGGTACATTGATTTCCAATCTAAATCCATGTACCTTACAGTTAGCGTAGGGTTGCTGCGAATAAATGGATAGTACTTCGTATGTCGCCAACGGAACTACCTGGACGAGTGAACATTAGCGGCGGGGCCCTGAGACACACTTGGTTTCCGGCGCTCCCGCGGGAAGCCAAGAGGATGTAGCGACACCGGACGGGAACTGAGCTGCCTGACTACTGGATTCTGTTACAGTAGTTTGGCTCGCTATCTCCGTATGTGCTCATGGCGGCATAATTAAAATGACGAGATAACGAGTGTCCGTTAATTTGCCTTTTTTGGACAGTTATCTTTGGCTACTGCACAAATAGAGGCATGGATTGACACAAAATATCCCCAGCCCAGCGTAACTCTCACTCCAAATATATCTGCTGCAGCTAGACTGCTATCATGATTCGGCAACATTATGTCTAAATTACAAGATTCTAGCATCCCAATATCTGTGACATCACTGCCTTTGAAACATAGTAGGCAAAGAAATCAGAATATTAGCCCAGGGATTTCACTATTAGCTGGCGCCACAGCTGGCGCTATCGAAGCAGCTACTACTGTCAGTTCCACAACAAAGCACATTCCCTCATCTATTTTACTGATATTGTCCATCCCAGTATCCATTTGAGTTTGCCAAGACTCGCTTTCAGCTAAAGCACAATGCGTATCATGCCGCTGCCATAACAACAAAAAATCCGTTCTTTTCGCTCCTACAGACAGTTCGCCAAAATGGAATAAGAGTGATGTACACGGGTTGCTCGACTCTAGTTATTGTATGTGTTGAGCCCTACATCAATACTGGTACTAGAGAAACTTCACTTACTCCTCCTAGGGTACCGCGTGCAAAGCCGGCGTTCGGTTTCTTACATTCGACTCCATCAAGAAGATTATCTCCGATGGAGATGGGAAATTGTCACCTGCGCGTGGTCTTCTCGCAGGTATGGCCGCCGGTGCTGTCGAAAGTGTGATTGCTATCACACCAACCGAACGCATTAAGACAGCCCTGTACGACGGCTTCTCTTTGATACTCTTCAGCTCGGTTTGGACGCTAACGTAAATTGTAGAATTGATGACGCTAGAATGCCTACAAGACAGTATAAGGGTGGCATACACGCATTACAAGTTATTATCAGGGAACATGGCCTTAATGAAGTCTACCGCGGCCTTGTTTCCACAACCATCAAGCAATCAGCCACGTCGGCAGTCCGCATGGGTATATATAACTCACTGAAAGAAAACGTGTCGCCGCGACTTGGAGGTTTCGGCAATAACCCTATTGCCACTTTTGGTTTGGGTGCAATTGCTGGCATAATTACTGTTTTTGCTACCCAGCCATTTGACACAATAAAGACACGTACCCAAGGCGCTACAGGAATTACAGTATCGGCGGCTATGAAGGATATTTTTCGAGATGGGAGTGTGAGAGCATTCTGGAGTGGCAGTTCCATGCGGTTGGGCCGACTTGTGCTCAGTGGAGGTATTGTTTTTACCGTTTACGAGAGTATCTCAGCTGCCTTGACTAGAACTTATATAAATTCTAGTTAACTTGTATTATATAACTAGACTTAGAACCTATAGGCGTTCCAGCCTTGTTGCCATGTTGACGAATGACTATCTATGTATTCTAACGAATGTATTTGACTTATATAGTAAGTCGTTTGTTAAAGAGCGCTGTAGCCGATCACTCCATCGTTCCTAGGAGCGCCCGCGTATATCTCTCCTTCTCATGGAACGCTCTGTCTTGTCGATCCACAGGCCAGATTTCGCCAGTCGGTCCGTAGTTATTCTAAGAGTTCGTAACAATGTTACAACCAGAAGGAGACTGTTTGTAAAATTATAGCAACTAAAATGAATGTAAATGTAATACGTGTATTTGATTGCTAAGAAAATTAAAAAGTATAAGTGCTTAAAAACGTAAGATACATTCTTTACTAAAGTACATTCTTTTCTTACCCCAAGAAACTATGCTATGTCAAATATACATCAGGATAATATAATTTGTTATAGATATTATTAATGCAAATATATATATAACTCCAACCTTCGATTATATACCAAAGTGGATATAGAGAACTTAGAAGAAATCCACCGCTCTTTGCGGTGCTAACTTAAGACATGCTAACTTAGCACCTCTCTCCCACATTTCCTCCTCAGCTTCTCCATTTACCAATGCCATAGCGCATATATCCATTAGAAAAGGGATATGGCCCTGAAAAAGGATGCTGACCATGGGGCAGTATCTCCAGCCATGGCGTCATTGAGCGCCTTTATGAAGGTTGTGAATGAACTCCGCGGTTTGTATAAGATCGCCCTAAGCAGCTCGTGATTGCCCTGTTTGCTAATAGCGATAATAACACCAATAACACTGGTTGCGAAATTGGTTCTTTATCTAGCTTGGATAGTAACAAGTAGAAGCTGTTGCTGATTGAGGGGAATGACTTATCGTCCTTGCCCCAGCCTTATGACATCTGCTAAAGAAGCGTTTGGTAATTTTATCGGTATCCACGAGGCCGGCCGTCCAACTCAAAACCAGTTTGTGCGAGTGAATATCAAGGAAAGGTTTATAAGTCCAACAGCAACTCTGCCACTTTAACGTACAGACCAGGACAGGTTCCGGGCTGGAACCCAATTGGCCTTCCAAGTGTACGGGTACGGAGGTACCGGTCTGATTGAGATTGGCAATGGCCACCGTCCCGGGGCTAGAGAGGACTTGGAGTGGATGACGACGGCGATGACGGCGATGACGGCGATGAAGACGATAAAGATGATAAAGATGACCATTATGCGAAAAGGAGACGACAGACGTGGCTGCATAGCGGGGCTAGGGCAGTAGCACTAGCCCAGGTTTAGATGATTACTTGTAAAAAGGTGCCGCCAGCGTGTTCTGCACTGATGGTGATAATATATTGGGCTATAACGTGGCCTGGTGGAAGCAATAGATCGACCACCAAGTCAATACATCATCCGTCTTCAGCGCCTACTGGCCTACAGATCAAATATCCAAATGACATGCAGCCTTTAGAACTTTTATCCTAAATGGACTTTAAAAGACCTTTTACTACCCTCTCAGCTGCGTATTTGGTCTTGGTGAAGCTGTTTTTCGGCTATCTTACTACCCCGATCTCTTCGTGTTCAACCTCCTCGACCATGTGATATCTCTTAGCGCCGTCCATGCTATAGTCACCCAGCGCCCCAGAGCCAGCCTCGTCATCCACAAGGCCCTTAGGCACGTGAATATTTATCGAGGTTATTTTGACATCAGAGTCGTGCCGTCCGGTGAGGATTCTTGTATGCCCTTTGCCTTACTACTATCTTCACTATATACAGAGCTCCAGAATCCCTTCTCCTTAAGTTCTTTGCTGGATAATGGCGTCGAGCAAACAAGTACAAATGAATTCTTGCTAGCGCTAATGCTTACTATCTTAAAGCATCCATTCTTGACGTAGTTCGCTGCCTTTATCAGCTCCTCCTCCACAGTGCCATCGCCCGCTGCACGCAGCGTACGGAAGTCAGACGCAGCGTGCATATTATGGTATATAATGTCGACGTTCGGGATAGAATGATATTTTGGTGGGTTTGGATGTGCTGCTGTTGGCTCCCATGTTGAACTTGAAGACATTATTCCAGTGAAATTCGCTATTGGTAAACTAGAAGTGAATTAGTTAATTGGAATTTAGAAGTTCAAAGAATGAGATTTAAGAATGAGATTTATTCTTACTAGTTTAGAAATAAATATTGTTTTAGGTTGGAGAGTTTATATTAAAGGAGTACTTGTAGTATTTATAAACACTAACAACTATTTTATATTAAATACTATTAATATATATATATAAAGAAAATAAGCATGTAGGGTAGTTGCTGCGGAATTATAATTAGCCGATAAACCAATTATAAAAAAGGCTCACTTTAAGAAAGTATACATGCATAAGGCATACATGCATAAGCATATAAGACAATTAAAAAATACCTCATTTTATAAAGTAAGCTTAAGTAAGTGTTAGTTTATATAAATAATTACAATAATTTTAAATAGTTATATGTTGGTATTGCATTAAAATTTAAATAACTAGAATATACTACGCTGGATATATAATATATAGTTATTTATAAGTTATCTTAAGCTATTTGCTAATATAAACTAAGAGAGGCATTCTTTAGTCTAATTATATTAATAGTTTATTATAAATAGCTTTCCCTAATATAAAACAAGATAGGCTTTATCAAGCATTAGTTATCTTATAGTGATTTATAAATAGGACTGAAGTAGACAGTAGATAGAAGACAGTAAATAGTCTATATTATTTAGTGGCATGTATATATATATATATATAGGTCTTGAATGTGTATCTTCCTTGTTTTACCAAGACCTAATCTATAAATAAAAAAAAATAAATAAAATTACAAATCTTAAGTAAAATATTTTCAAGTAAAGTTACAATTGCAGGTGTTGTTAGGATATAATAGTATAATGCATATACCAAATTTGTAACGATCCGTTATACCGTTAAGCCAACAGGGCAAAAGATTAGGCCAATAACCACTATTGTAGCAGTTACTGTAACGGAACCAGCTGCCTATAAAGGATTCGTAGTTACGGAGGACCAGGTCGTAACAAAATTACTAGAAACAAGTATTATATGCTACCCTTGAGTAATATAGTTACATTCTGTATAACACCTAATACAACTAAATGAATATATAAGTACCTTTCAATCTTTTATAGACTGGGATAGATAAGGAGCTAATAGGGCGATTTATGTTAATATTTAAAACTAGTATCTAAATTTAAATTAAAAGGGCCTGCAATCTCTTATATCCTCTATTATACACAAGTTTGCCTGCCTTTGATTGGTGGAAGAACACGAGCTGTTATAAATTTATATTTTCTGGCAAATGCTGTTGGTTCCTGGGTTACTAAAGTTCCTTTTTATATTGTTGTTTTAGGTTACTAAAATTCATTTTTATGCAGTTGGTTCCTAGTTTACTAAAGTTCCTTTTATGTTGTTAGTTTTTAGGCTACTAAAGTTCCCTTTTATGCAGTTGGTTCTTGATTTACTAAAGTTCCTTTTTATGGACTTGGTTCCCGGTTTATTAAAATTCGTATTAATGCTGTTGGTTCTTGAATTACAAGGGTTCTTGCTTATGTTGTTCGTTCTCTATCACTAATGACCGCCTATATAGGAAGGGAAAAAATACAAATTATAACTTACCCCTCTTTCTCGGGAAATCGGCATCAGTCCCCGCTGGTAGCGTTATCTTTAAACAGGAGAGACAAATGTTGATTCTTCAAGTAGTAAGTACAGTAGTAATTAAAAAGAGGGCCTATGAGGTATCCGAGCACGCGTATTTCTATATCTAAAAAAGGCAGGGCGTGTTACTAGCAAGTGCTATAACTTAAAGCACTAAGTGACAGCACCTATTCGTTAAATTACAGAGCCTATCTGCTAATTTATACCCCTGCTTTATCCAAGTGTAGAACCTGACGCCAACGTATCGGAAGCGTCCATTTCCAAGCGCAGCACGAGGATTCATCTCAAACTGCTGGTTCCTATGCGTTCACATCTGCATCTGCACCGAATTCAACCAATATTTTAACTAAAGCAAGTGAGCCAGAATCCACTGCTAAATATAAAGCAGTTTTACCGAAGTTATCCTTCATATATACACTGGCCCCTGACTGTAGAAGCAGGCTCACCACGGAGACGTCGCCATTTTGTATTGCAACAAAAAGCGGGGTGCGGCCTTGGCAATCTTGCACATTAAGGTTTACTTGTTTTGCTAGAAGGTAGCCTAGGATAGTTTCGTTTCCATTCTTTGCTGCATAGTGCATGGCAGTGCTACCACGCTGATTTTTTGTTGCTGGGTCTGCGCCATGGTGTAGGAGAAACTGGATGATGTCTTCATCTCCGTTATTGACAGCACAGCACAGAGCATTTGTGTGCACATTGTTGCTATGATTCGCTTCTTGAACTTGCGAACGTTCTGTATTAGTTGAATCTTTATCGGCGCTAAGGACATGAAGCATTGACAAATGTGGCGGCAACCCAAGGCATGAGTTAGTCGCGGTCTGAAGTCGTGGAAGTGGAGGGGCTACAGTAGTGTCACCGCTGCTAAATAAGAGGGTGTCTGCTCCGTTTTGGGCAATGTTTCTCAGCAACTCGGCCCTCGGACTCTCTGTATCATGTATCAGAAGATGATAACTGTCATTTCCATAACCGAGAGACTGGTTGAGGAGATCAAGGTCTTGTTCCTCTTCATCTTCTGGGTGCGCCAGAACAAGCTCAAATGTGGGCGGTGGCGGCCTGCGAATACGACCTATCTGATGTTAACCATGTGCTCATTGAAAGCCACAGATTGTACTCTGCTGAAGCAAGATGCAGGGTATGTCTCACGTGTTGGTTGGCTACTATTGCTCTTTTTGATACCAGTTCCCATCGTAAATCTCTGTGCTGCGTTCACTTCAAACTGGAAATAAGAGTACAAGGCATAGAATGAGCGAGAGAAAAGACTTCATTAAGGCTGTATTCTTTGCTATGGGTAGATGTAGCAGTAGGACATATTCTTCCCAATCCAATCTATTTCATGCCAACCAACACGGCGCTCTGATTGGCTGATGAAAGCAACGCATAGGGTGCCACATGCTGGGCAGCCACAGCGCTTTTGCACTTCTGACTTCTATACCGCATAGCCTGGGCTATATGCAGTATAAAAAAAAAAAAACAGTTAGCAGTAGTTTCAAATCTGACAAAAAAAAATTAAAGAAATTCGGCTAGTACGGCTTCATAGGTCTTTCGATCCGGTTATTGCTGGCATGGCGTCGGATGCATCTACAGTCACCAAAAAGCTAGAGAGCTGCGAAGTCCGCTGGCTACACTCACATGCAACTATTTTTGACAAATAAGTTAGCGAAAGCTTACAGATGAATAGGCAGACCTGATTCGGACTCTAAATGCGAACTAAAGTCTAGTTACTATTCTTTACTCCAAGGACCAATAGTCCGATCAAGGCAAATGAGCCACTAAACATAACAGGTAGTGCCATCCAAATCCCTCCCAACCACAGGCCAAACTTAAATGCCTGGGCCACAAGAGGCGCCGATGTCAAATTGCCAATCGTCTCGAGAATGTTGAGACCACTAAATAGTACTACTGAGTTCTCACCGACTACTACCACGAGCAGACTTTTAAGGACCTGGTTGTACACTGTGCCTAGATTAAATAGTACAACACCTTGTGAAGAAGTTAGATGCATGAATTTGAATTGGATAACATAAGGCGGGGGTTGAGGAACTTACCAATAAGCATGCCAAAACCATTGGGCGTCAACGTTGTAATAATGGCTCCAAAGATAAACACAGCGCCGCAAGCACGCGCTACAGACAGGTCTCGCGCCGTTGCACTCATGGTGAACTTGCTGGACATAATATAAGATGCAATGGGCAAAATAATCATGCAGGAGATGATGCCTACGATAATCTGCAAGGCGGTGACGTAAGATAGCTATGACAAGTATCAAGATGCTTAGCCATGTCGTGACTAGGAAAGATCTATTTGAAAAGGGCATACATACCTTAGCCCAACTCCAACCAAATCTCCTCCGCATGAGCTGTTCACTCACACCAGAGCACTGCCAGGCCAATGTCATGAATATCAAGCAGACAATGATTCGGATGGTAAAGGAGCTGCTTTTCTGCATGAGAAAGGATGCACCTGCTCTGGCTTCTTGAAAGCTTCTCAATATCTTGTCCTTCAGCTGTCTGCTGCCAGCCGCGGCAGTTGGCTGCTCCGATGAAGAGTACGCATTGGCGTCGTCCGACACAGAGTCATCCAAGTGCTTGACCTTTTTCTTTGGTTCTATAATGAAAAAAGAGAGAAGGCAAGTGGCGACAAGAAAACCTAGACTAAACCACAATGGAAGCCATGGGCCGTACAGTTCTATTAACCTCGAAGCAACTATGGTGGCGATAAGGCGGGGACCGAGCGATAGGGCGATGATGAAAGAGAAAACAGAGGACCTAGACAGCATCAATTAGTCATGTTATCTACTAGATGAATGCAAATATGATACGAACCTCGATACATCAGTAGTAAGGCTGGTAATGTTGGCAAAGACAATAGCATTGCTGACTGGAAGGCCTCCGCCGATGAAGTAGAGAAGCTGCGTGGCCCATAGTGCGTGAATAGAGAACTTTTCCGGCCAAAAACCTTATTACTTCTGTTAGATAATGGTTGGCAAATTGCAGATCGCGGAAGTGGCTGATCTTACAGATGATTCTTACACACGCACCAGTCAGGGCTATGCCGAAAGTACTCAGCACAAGAAACGGTTTCTGCCCGTAACGGTCGGCAAGCATTCCATAAGGCAGCACTGTAAGTAGTCCTTCGGTTATTGTTAATAAACTGGTAATGTAGATAGAGCTTTCCAAGAAAAGTTGTGGGAGAGGGCTGATAATTGACAAACCTGGCAGTATCATGGCAGTATGATACCATCCCATCAAGATGGCTAGGGAGCTTTGCACATCATCATCCGCACCGCAGTCGGGTGCCCCACGCATCTCCCGGCAAAGAGCCTCTTCAACAACTTGAACTAAAGAATTGGCGGGTAGAGAGCCGCCTAATTCCATTACCAGAAAAAGACAGACATAAAGAAGAAGAGAAGCGGTGGGGATTTGACGCGTAAACAGTGACTGAAACCCGCGACTGGAGCGGTCGCCTAGCAATGGAGTGGCGTCAACATCTTCCAGAGGTCGATCACTGTCGGGATTCTCCATGTCAGGCATATCGTATCGTTGAGAAGGTATTGGATTCTGTGAAAGTCAACCACACTTGAACATCTGTCCGGATAGAAACGAAAGTAAAAATTGCTCCCGTGCAATGGGCGCTACCAACAAGAGTTAGCTGCAGGGAACTTTTGCACCGAAGTCTATAGTAATAATCAGCTAACGTCAAGAACCTATTTTTACCTATTAACATTATTATTTTAAGAATTTATAAGCTAACCAGCATTCAAAATACGAAGTCACGAGAAGAATAAATCGCTCACTGGCATGGAACCAATAGCTTCCTCCCGTGTGGTAATTTTATGAACTATACACACTTTTTATTGGTGTATCAGCAGTATAACATGCTTATGTCTTCTGCACTAATATGCCGTCGTGGCACATGCAAAATAGCGCTATCTGCGGAGGTCGTTGTCCTACAACACAACTTTGCGACAAGCACCACTAAGTGACGTTGTGGAAAAGAAAGAAACTAACGAAAGTGCTACTGTGGCTCGAACTCTCCTAGAATTTATTGTTACGGCGCGAGAAACGCCTACGCGGGCGTGGAGGACTTATGACCACGGCTTCAACTACATATAGTCTCCAGACTCAAAGGGAAAGCGTCCCCTGCCTAGCATGCTTGCCTAAAACCTATGTCAAACAGTAATTAACACATTTGAAATACCTAGTAGCTAGAATATAGTAAAAATAAAAATAAAAATATTAAAAGTAATATATATATATATATATATATTTACTATGTAGATCTCGCGCTGAGTTTGCAAACATTTACGCGTAACCTAGCCTGGAAATTGGCAGATTATCTATCTCCTGCCGGCAATACGGCATCTCGTATGCTCGAGACAAGACTAAAGGTTCAATGGAGTCGTTCACTGATTTAGTAGATTCAAAGAGAACAATGATATGATTAAAAATATAAATAAATTAGAGAATTGAGAGGGAAGAGATATAGCTCCATGTAGAACTTCTTTCTCGCTACACTTAACGAATCTGCACTGGTGCGGAAACCAGTCGTTCCGCGCAAGCCTGCACATTGGATTCCAACTCATTTCAACACAACATCCGGCTGCGGGTCATCTTCCATATCCCAGGGAAACCCATTTTTGTACATGAGCTCATCTCTCGATAACTCTGTCGAAATAATAACAGTAAGCATATGTTCGCTCGCATTCAAGCTCACAACTTTGTACAACCCGCGTGAAATGTGCTTCGCAACTTGCAAAATTGCATCCTGAAGGGATTTGTCGGTCCCTGATCGTATGCCGCGAAAATCTGAGCCGTAGTTTATATTTGTGAAGATGACATCGACGTTGTATACGGCTTGGTAAGTACCGTCTGGAAGTCGCTTAAAGCCCGGTGGAAGGTCTTCAGTGGCGCTTACAGAAGCATTGACCGACATGATTCCAAAGCCGTGAGATCTCCGTTGAGAGCCTTGTGGGTTTTGATAGAAAAAGATGGGTACCAGTTTGGCAAACACTGCAAGAAGTATTTGAAGTTGGAAAGCTGTAGAGCAGCGTGTGGGGTGTAGCTTACATTTTTAGACATTCTGGCTTTAACCCTACTCTAACACTGTGCTTTTGCTGGCCTGGTTAGGAGAGGCAGCCAACTGACTACGAAATCGCTGCACACTATTTGCCGTTGAATAGACCGTTGTTATTTCTCAAACTAAAGACTCTAAAGAAGAGCCTCGCAATTCTGACTACCTACACTAGTCCTAAAATAAGAATAATCCCAATTTAGTTCCTCCGTCTTTAACAAATCGGATTTATTGGGCTGCATCCCTGTGCTTGTAATTCACAGCTGCATCGGGTTTTATCGCGACATATATCAACTGGCACGTCCGATTGCATGTATCCCTCCAGGGTGCAGCGAAAGTTGTATGGGGAGCCTCTGCAGTAATTTGCCAAACTGTTGTCGTTGCAAACAAACACATAGCGAGCAATAGCCTGGACACCTAGATCCGCCTCAGTTTTGTTAAGTGGAACGGCATTGGCAAGATAAACCCAATTGATCGACAGTAGAACTATTGCACGCGTGAATATATAGACTCCAATATATATTATATCAGAAGGAAGTGCTTGCCTACCTTTTGAGAGCAGCTGCATTGTGGTCTTATAGCTTTAAAATTGCGATGGAATTTATCAACGAGGGGTTTGGAGGAAAGTAGAAAAAAGGAAAAGTTTGTATTTGTTATTTTTGTAATCTTGAATTCTTTCGAGTCTCTCGAAGCCTAACTTCTTTTTAATTTGATCACGCTCTAATGCAATCTGATATATTGTTGAATGTAGGGTCAATTGGGCACTTTGGTACTCCGTCTGCATGAATCAAACTCTCAAACTAACCGGCTCCAGCTGTAATGGCACATGGTATTGGCTCAAGTGAGACAGTTTGATAGGTGAGCTCTCCTTGACGCATTTGCATTCCTTGACCAACCGACGGCCATGTGCATACGCTAACTGCAACTTGCATATGCACTGCCACTTGCTTGAACGCATCATCTATATTCATACTAGCCATCCATCTGACAATCGACGATGGGCAAGTAGGATATGTGTATATGTTCCTCTTAGATACGCTATGCATGTGTGAGTCATTATTATCGTCTCCTATGAACCTTTGTTTGCATAGACATAACCACTGTTAGGAATTACAAAGAGGTCAGAATAAAAGTTGTATGACATGGTGAAGCTGGGATTATTTTAGAGACTACAAGCAAAGGAGCCTCGTGTACTTCTGCTGATCGCATCATCAAATGTGTCACCGAAATTATCCAAGTAATTGATTGAATGCTAGTGGCGTGCGCTGCGGGGTGAGGACCATTAAGAAGTTACAACGCGTCCAGCCAAGCTCCCAAGGCGCTCGACCTACATGATGTAGGATAAATGCAAAGTGTTTGACGGGCATAAATATGGAAGATTAGAGAAGCTACCAGTAGTAGAGCGAAGATTACCACATAGAGGATTCTTTTGTATTTGATGCATATGCGCCAAAAAAAAATAAAAAGAATATTACATCTTGTTCAATATTCAACAAGGAAGCAATTGGCGGGTAGGGGCATTAGATTACGATATGCGGAGATTCACAGACATTCTAGATGCATGTGCATGAACATTCTTTCAATTTGGTTGCCATGAAGTACAATAAAATTGAAACCAGTTTCAAACGGTAGTTGAGAGGCTTGACGGTAGAGGCTCCAAAAGCAAGCCTGGGGCAGCCAATTTCATCGCTCCATACACACTCAACAATGAGAGAAATGACTGTTGCGGCAGAAAGAAGGCTCGCTTCAGAAAGAAAGCTTCAGAGCCCACCCCTGCTGCAATAGCAGCCAGCAAAGCAAACGAGCCTGGTAGAAGTGGTTAACAAATCATGCTCGCTCGAACAGCAAAAATTTCCAGCTTTTTGGCGAACAAAAGCATTCAGAATGGGTACATAACTGGTCATTACTCACTTCTTAAAAGGCACTCGAAAATCGCCGACACCTGAAAACACTCACATAGCGGGAATAGCCTCTTTAGCTGCTATTTCATTGTCATACTTAATAGTAAACACAACATTAGAGCGATCAAAGGTTTTCTCGAACTTGACTGTACCAGAACGAATTTCGTCAGTGTTAAGAGTAAGACCTAGAAGGTGCTCAAGCCCATGTTTCACGAGAAGATCGTTAAGCTCTGTGTAAAAAGCAGGTTTCTCGGGCAACGGCTTATAAACTTCAGCCTTTAAGCCTTCGTTATACCCAAACTCAAAGGGGAACAAAGATCCCTGACGGAAAGCCCAAGATCTGGGCACAATAGATCCCCCAAAGACATTGGGGCGATTCTGGCTGTCCTCCCACGGGGAAGATATAGCTCCAAGCTCAACTAGTTTCTCGGAGGGAGAGAGATCAAAGTGGCGATGCAACAAACAGATGGCGAGTTCATTGTAGACCTCATGCTTCAAGAACAGTTCACTTTCCACCCAAAGCGGTTAGTAGTACGATTATCGCAATCTCCTTCTCAAGGATTGCCTGATGCTGAAGCTGCTCGAAGGTGTCCGAAGCAGCATGGAGACTGGGGAGGGAGTCATAGACAGAAGGGCTGTAAACTGCGGCGGCGGCCATTTTCCCACAAGTGAGTGAGTTTTGTTTTAACAAAGGGTTAAAGGACAGAAATTTGCGAGTACGTTAAACTATTGAATACTAGTTTCTGTAGAAATTATCAAAGTATGTAGAAATATTGACGTATTTATGTTGTGTTTCCGTGCTCCCGTCAATCCGTCGGCCATTGCCTTGAAGCCTTTGGCTTGTTAGTTCAGACACCGCTTGTTGTCGCTGCTCTATGCGCAAAATCACTAGATGTTGGTCATATCATCTGTTATCAATTTCAAAGTGCCGTACCTTCTTGCAGAAGTAGGGCCGGGGTCTACCCTGGATCAGTGTGTATACAGGTTGTAGGAGCCACCTTGTGGATAACGTTGGCAATTGTAGTTGCCACCCACATTAGCAGTATGCAGGTGGCAGTTAGTAACTCTGCTGACACCCTTTCTTGCCTGCAGTTGGTAGTTAGCGCCTGCAAGTGGCAGTTAGAACCTGCAAGTGTTCCAATTTATCACCTGTCAACAAGCTAGGTCACGTATCGTCTAAATTAGTACGTAACTAACTAGCACACTCTGGCAAGTTCTTTTTCAAAAACAACACATGATTAAAATTAAATCTCTAGTTGGATTCTATTTAATAACAATATAGACAATATACAGAATAAAGTAATGACTATGACAAAAGCTAAATGAAATTTGATATGCGTGAGTGACTTTTCTATCGCGATCCAGCCTTGCAGCTACAACAAAGTAAATATGGCAAAACAAGCCACACGGGCGGCGCTGCTACCCACCAACCTCTGTCTCAAAAGCGCCATTGATCTGGTACTGCCTCGCGACTGGTTGGTTGGCGTGGTAATGCTGACCAACCGTTTTCGCTTCACCCTCGCTCTCTCTACGTTACTAGTTAAATTCCGACTTTAAGTGGGAAATCCGGTGCATACAGAAAATCTTGCAAAGAGCCGTTCGATTGCAGGCCGCTACACAGTCCAGCAGAGGTCTGTTGTCACTCGGTGATGCCCTCGCCTGATCAGTTCGATCTGTTTTAGCTCCAGAACTTGGCCCCTGCTTGCTAGTAGCTAGCGAGTGCCGCCGAAGCATCAACACCCCGCCGTCACTGCTGAAAAATGGCGATTAAGATTTTCAGGTTGTTACAGAATGGGCAACTCGATTTTTCTCTGGAATTCGAGAATATCATATTTGCAATTGTGCCCGCGAGCTGTGCGCTACTTGCAGTGATCCTTGATAGCGTTTGCGGCATGCCATGGCGGCGCGGTCGTGGCCAACGCCCACGCTTGAGAGCAGCAATTCAATACAGAGTATAGTAATCGTTGATTCGGTGACTTCTGACTGCCCAGAGGCTGATCAGTGATTTTCCTAGGCTGTTCTGGCGATACTTACTGGCCTGCATGCGATTTCTCTAGCTTTCTATTATCGAAATTCGGGTGCCTCTGCTCTATTCTCGGCCACCGGCACTGCAGCTTATGTACTCCGACTGGTTGCTTCCTTTGTCGTCTTTCTCAGCTTTACTCTCCCAATTCCCAGTTCTGAACTTCGAACGGACATATATTTGCTGGCAACATGCGTTGCTGATGGTTTTCGACTTCACACTCTCTGGGCCATGGCCCGGCAGCCGGGCGAACCTGTCGGGATCGCTCTTCCCGCACTACAGGCAGCTGTGGCTGCCGTGAGTGGTGCTGCCTTAATTCTTTCTGAAGTATTCTCGAATTTCAAGGTGCACGCCTCTAGAAAGCAATCTGGCCCAGTGCATGTGGATGAGCCAGGAAGTGGCGTCTTTGGCATGCTCTTCTTCGGCTGGCTCTGGCCGTTGCTCCAGTACGGACACAAAAACACCATTGCCACCAGCGATTTAGAGTCCGTTATCGCTCGCTCCACGGCGACCTTTACGCTCGGCAGCGATTGGATGTATGCCATGGAGGATGGGAGGAAGTTCATATTCGCAATCGCCCTTCCTTTTCTCGGCGCGGTTATTATCCAAATTCTCAGCGCTGGAGCTACTTTAGCACAGCCGTTCATCGTTCAAGGGATTGTATCCTATTTGCAAAGTAAGCAAAACAAATCAATTGGTATCTGGCTTGTTATTGCTATGGTATTCGAGTATGTTGAAAACTAGAACTCTATGTCCAAGCCTGCCTGTCTAATGCTAACCCCGTCTGCTAGCCAGCTTGCCATCAGCGTTCTAGAGGCCCATGGAAGCCATGCATTTAATCAACTCTCTTTCAAGACGAGGTCCTTTCTCATACACAGAATTGCACTTCGAAGTCTTGGTGGCTCACCTCCGGCTGGCGGGTGGAACGCGGCCGGCAACAGGGTCATTGTTCACGTCTCACAAGACTCGGCGGCGATTGCTGGCGCAGTGCAATTGTTAGGCATGATTATTCCCAACATTCTCGTCATTGGAATTGGCTCATACATGCTTTTTCGACTTATCCATCTTGCGTTTCTTGGCCCGCTGCTAGCTGCAATTGCTTGCACGTTACTTCCCACGCTACTGGCAGGGCCGCTCTCGCGGAGCGAGCATCGTCTGTTACAAGCTACTGAACTTCGCATTGCAAGTATAAAGCATCTTATCTCAGAAGTTAGGAGCCTTCGCTTCGGCAACATACAGCATACGACAGAAAGTCAGGCTACAGATAACAGAAGGCAGGAGATTGAGGCGGCAGGGACGTTTCGCCGCATCCTCACTGTGGTTATAGTCGCAGGTATATTTATGTCTCATTTTATACTCTATATGTTTTGCCATTGACTGATTCATTTAGCCGTCTTTCTCTCAAGTCTTGCTACATTGGCCGCCTTCGGCGGCTTCTCCCTGTCGCCGCAACACAACTTAGACTATGGTATCCTCTTCACGTCTTTGTCGACCATGCAGATTATGCTCACTCCTCTTCTCTCAATCATACAAATGTTACCAGAATTTGTTAGCTCTCTTGTGAGTTGGAAACGTCTTTTATACTATGTTAAAATAAACGAGGAAGATCTGCCATCTTCTAAGTCTCCTCAGAGTCTCGCTTTCATCTCTGAAAAACCGACATCACCACAGAATACTTTAGTAAAAATGGTGAACCTCACCGCTAAGACTGGAGAAACCCTGCTGACAATGGAAGATATGACTGCTGAGTGGGCATCCGGCTCAGCATTCATTGAGCATGCTAATCTCTCGTTGGGGATGGGGCGCATGGCAATCGTGGCTGGTGCCGCAGGTTCTGGAAAATCAAGCATTCTGAAGGCTATCCTAGGGGAAAGTACTGTGGTCAAAGGCCGTCTTACAGTCAGCGCACATAGATTGTCACTGTGTGATCAAATGCTCTGGTTTATTCCCGAGTTGTCGATCAAGGAAAACATCGTTTTCGGAAAGCCCTTTGACCAACATCTTTATAATAGAGTTGTCGCTTGCTGTTGTTTAGATCGAGACCTGAGGGCGCTGGATGGCGGAGACGGCACGAGGCTCAGCATCACCGGCTCACCACTCAGTGGTGGGCAGCGGCGCCGAGTGTCATTGGCACGAACCCTCTATGACTCTGGAGATCTGTTTCTGCTCGATGATATATTTAATGGACTGGATGCCAAAACAAGGGCCACTGTTGCTACGAATGTTTTTGGTACAAATGGATTTATTCAAGAGATAGGCGCTGCTGCCATTCTCGTTTGTGCTGAACGTATGTTGGTCATTAGCTCGTTTCGGTTTCTCTTTACTGACGTCTATTATCAGCGCCCTGGATCATGTTATCTTTTCCTTGCATCGAATTCTACATGATTCAAAACAGCCACCTCAATGTTGTGGACAAAAGCACATTTGTGGAAAATGAGATCAAACATGCAAGGCACCAAGGTTCCAAATCGGCTATAGCAGCCACAACAACGGAGGTCTCTTCATTTGACGGAGTAGAGGGACGGCAGTCTGCCTTGGCTGAAGAAGAAGTTGTCGTAGATGATTTTTTATCACGCGAAAAGGCAAAGACTTGGGAAGCCCATCTCATATACTTCAAGTCTTTGGGCTCTCCAATTGCTGTCGCCATCGCTGGCGTGTTTCTATTTGCTTGGGCTGGCACTGACAGAGCTGGATGTGAGTATTGAAAGGAACTCTGTGTTTTTAAAGGTGCCACTGAGCAGAATACTGACGTGACTAGCTTTCTGGTTGTCGCATTGGGCAAGCCAGTATTCAAACCTGGGCCATGGCGTCGAGAATGGTTACTACGTCGGAATATATGTTGCATTCTCTGTGGCAGGTGTTTTGGCGATGTTTATTTCGGTTTGGTATGCGTCTAGCAACACTGGCCCGCTGATTGACACATCTAACTAAAGACAAATAGGATCACTTTTATGCGTATCGTGCCGGAAAGTAGCATCAACCTCCACCGAGACATGCTTTCGGTTCTAGTCAAGTATTGCACTGTAGTTAAATAATCCGCTGTCCAGTTTCTAACTGTTTATGCTTACAGGAGCCCCGCTTACGCTGTTGAACAGCACAAATCCGAAAATCTCAACAGGTACGTTCTATATGCTCTGAATTGGCAGTTCTGCACCATGCTAAGAAGATGGAGGTTTACGAATGATATTGAAGCTGTTGATCTACATCTTCCACAGTCGCTACAAAATCTTATAACCTGTATGTTATAATTAGCGCGCCCTAATGATAGATGCTCTTCTGACATAAATATAGCGATCGCATCCTGCATCGGCTCTATTGTCGTCATCGGCGTCGGGTCACCTTACACAATGATCAGTCTCCCTATTCTTCTGCCTCTAATTTTCATTCTTCAAAAATTTTATTTGAAGACTTCATTTCAGCTTCGCTCGCTCCAGGTCGCGGCACAGGCGCCTATGCTCCAAATGGTGGGCGCTATCCTGGAAGGTCGCATCACCATTCGCGCGTTCAACCAAAACCAATACATGGCTCGTCTCATGTCAGATTGCATAAATCGAGGCTTAATGATGGGATATTTGTTTAAGTCGGTGCAGATATGGGTTACGTTGATGCTAGGCCTCGTTAATGGATGCTTGGCCATCGCGCTCGCAAGTTTGTTAATCGGTCTTGGCGGGTCAAACAGCATTACTTGGGGGGGCCTCGCGCTGGTCAATGTCATTCGGTTAGGGCAGGACGCCATGCTGCTGCTTACGTGGTGGACAAGATTTGAGTCGACCATGGCTTGCATGGATCGGATCTGCGATTACACTCGGCGTACGCCGCAAGAACGTGTTCAGATTCCGGAAGATAGTGTTGACTGTGCTTGGCCTGAGCATGGTAGAATACAGGTCAAGAATTTATCACTTGCTCATCAGTATGTTTTTTTTTATACATAACTACTTATTGTTTGAATCATAGTTGGAGCTAAAGCAACTATAGGTCACGCCGCGTTATCAAGGACTTAAACATCGATATTCCGGCTGGAAGTAAAGTGGCGATCCTGGGTAGAACTGGCAGGTAAGAAACATTTAGGACAAATATCGAAAAGCCATTGATAAACACTAATCAGTATTTCAGCGGCAAAACATCGTTACTGCAGGCTTTCTTTAAATTAATTCGGTGTACCGGCGGCATCCTTGAAGTGGACGGCATCAACATCTTTTCCGTCAGCAGTGATCTGGTGCAGTCGCGTCTAGTTGGACATTCGCAGAGCTTCGTAGCAGACTCGAGCGCGACTGTCAGGCAAAATCTCGATACTGAAGCTAGAATTGCCGATCCTGACATTCAGCATTTGCTCTCTTCCCTTGCACCTCCGCAGATAGCTGGAGACATCATGTCCAGACTGGATTCGAGATGGAATGAGTGCAATTTTTCAGACGGCCGGCAGCGCATTATAGGCCTCGCACGAACTTTGCTCCGGGATTCGGCTGTGTATGTGATGGATGAGCCCACAAGCGGGTATGTATCGAGATTTGATCGGATTAAAACAAAATCTCTAACATACTAACAGTTGTTAGGATGGATGAACAAAGCCATACTTCTGCTATGAAGGCTGTATTTAGCATCTTATCTAACAAGACTGTTATAACTACAACTCACACACTAGTGGGCATCACTATATTTGACTACATTATTGTTATTGACGACGGATGTCTTGTCGAGCAAGGTTCTCCGACGGCCCTTCTAGCTGAAGAAAGTAGTATGTTAAGTCAGCTTCTTCACGCACAGTAAATATCTTTGTTATTTTACTTTTGTATTGTATTGTTCTTAGTCTCTCTTGCTCCTCTAGACCGTTTTAAAAGTTTTGTGTTATTATTTAATTGTATTGTGTTGAATATAATCAGCAAATAAACAATAGATAGTTAATATATCGTAAACCCTTTGAGACATATTCTATCGTTAAGGAAAGAAACTTATAGAATGAGGTTTCATAACTTCGCTGCATGGAAATCGTTTCAATCTCAACAATGCTAACAGAATTTGGCACGGCGCCACGGCTTTATCAACCGGCCCTGCGGGGATTTCCTCCAGTATCTGTGCCGTGGTATTTGATTCGGTCGATTTCACCGTATCAATGATGGCGCTGCCAACTTCGGCAAACTTGGGTGTGATGATCTTGCAGACTCTAGAAGATCAGGTGAAATAACCTCTTCGCCTCCTATGAGGAGCACAGATCCTCATCAGGTGAGGTCTTCATCATGCCAATGACTTTCTCTAGCTTATGCTTCAAAATCAATTTGAGTCTCTCCATCTCTCCATCCCTTCATCTATTAGAGCATACTTTGCTAAACCGCGATTATCCGCTGTCATGCTGAGTCATGTGTACGCAAAACAGCTATGACCTCAAATTACTGCCGTCGCGCTCAACTGACACTGGTCTTGCAGTTCCCATCCCAACTGTCATTACACCCATTGTCATCTACTTTATGTTCAAGGTCGAGGATCTCGAGATCGGGTGGCAGAAAACTGCGTGTAAGAAGACCGACGGCGACTCCAAAGCTATACATATTAGCACCAAGGGAGAAGCTGCTGCCACGAGATGGAACAAGCGGCAGTCCCGGGGCTTGATGCAGTAGTCCATGTGAATCTTGAGGAATACGAGCACGACCAAGGAAGACACGGCCGTGTCGAGGGGAAAATAAGTGGCAGATGGGGCGTGGAGGCTCAGCGGGGCGCCTCCATGGGAAGCAAAGGCCGAACTGGGGAAAAGGCGAACCCCTTTCAGCAGCAGCCCGGATGCTTTGCCATCTAAATGTACCAAAGATTCTTCATCTGATAAAGAGGCGAATATAAGGGGGGCAGAGGCCGTGGACGACGAATATATCCCTATCTACCTGCGGCTTTAACAGGGGTTACCAGATGACGAGATGGAATCAATACTTGTAGCAGGCATTCGACGCAGCACCTCAAAAGATTTTACTGAGTAGAAATGAGTCTGAGTCAGACAAACGAGATGCATCTGCTCTATCAACCGCATGTAAGAGCAACTACTGAAGCTTCCTCCAGAAGGATCGTTCCAAACGGTCTCGAGAGCTGCAGGAGACCCAGTTGCGAAGAAGAGACTTGTTTGGCAATGTAACCGCGCAGGGAAGATAGATTGTCCTTTTTCGTTTGACGCCGTGGACATTAAGATAAGCACCGACCCATGGGAAATTAGATGCAAGGAAAACGCAAAGTCAACATGTCCATAACCATAGACCAAGCGATGGACCCATTGCCCCCCCTAAGGAAGGAGAGCAGACAATGCAAAACGAGAACAGGTCAACAATGCAACAGCGGCCAGAGCGTCGGGTTCAATACATCACAGATTGGAATGATAGTTCCAACCGGTGGAAACACAAAATCTTCTTCGGGAAAACGACAATCTGGAGTATGTGACGGAATAGGGATGAGAACGGCGTAACGGCTGTGCTCCTAATCTAGAACCTAGAATTGCAGAGCCGACTGGCTGAAGTTGGTAGCCAGGCATGCTGTTGGGGCTGCAGATTGCCCGTGCGCGCTGTGGCTCAAAAAAAGTGGCGCGTCGATGGTGTGTCTCTCTAACGTTTCGAGAGTAAGGACACTCGGCCACAAAGGATGGAGGCCAAGCATCTTTTTGCAAACAGGGTTGAGGGTGGCTGTGAGTTCATCTGCTTGCGGAAATAATGAGGACAGCCGGATTAAGTTCGACTGGGGGATTGTGAAAGGATAAGATTTTGTGGTCTGAGGCAACAGGAAAGTGTGAAGAACACGCCAGCATAGTTGAAAGATATTTGGATGCTTTTAAGGCAATTATCTACTTATTTACCAACCGCCTACCTTATAACCCGTTTGTTTATTGAACCGCCAGCCGAGAAGAAGTGTGTGCCCCTTTCTCCCAAACCTCGGCGCCTAAAACAGGAGCGCCAGCCCGCAGTACTTAAAACATTCTCTTGATTGGCCACATGTTACAGCCAAAAATATATTCACCAATCAACATCAACATATTAACGGCTTCAAGTTGCCTTTAAAGATAATCCAATCTTTACGTCATTTAGAGTGTCTTTGTAACCCGGAGGCTGGCATTTAGGTCGGCCATATCCCAAAAATTCGCCTGCACATCTCCCCAAACAGGGAGTGCAATCCGTAGGTAATAAACAAATGACCAAAATACTAATCTCGCACGGTAGAAATCGATCAATAATTTTAAGTCGCTTTGTTCTTAGAAAACCCTTTCTTGTAGCCGACAACGAGCAACAAGCCCACAATCGAAAAGAAAAGTCTGTACTCCGCCGTTGGCTGTATTTCGATACCATAGAGTAAGGAGCTCTAGGGGCCTTGCGACTTACCCTCCGCATAGATGGAACAGAAATGAAAAGCTTCAAGAAACTCTTCCAGGAACTTCCCACAATTGTTTGTTTTTTTTCTTCCAATTTCACATCAGACTCCGAGTGCGCATCTGTCCGGGCCCTGTGAAGTGCGTTATCAGCAAATACTTTATGGAGGACCCAACGACCAGTTTCAGGAAGCAACAGAACGAGATTCACAAAGGAGTGGTCTATAGCATCATGCGCAGCGTTGTTAATCAGCTTGTTCCATGGAATCACTCGAAACCCTCGGTGGCAGGAATACCCTAATTTCCATAATTTTGAGACTCGTACAGCCACAACCTGGCTCGATCATGCTGGACGAGCCAACTTGCAGGGTGAGCATTCCGATATAGTTCGTTCACGTGTTATCTCCATATCCCAGGATACCTACTTCTATACAGGGATAGCCCGGTTGAATATGGGCCTTTACGGTCAGTCGTTTGACGCTTGCCTATGGCGTACCTTAGAGAATTGCCCTTGTCCCACAAATAAAATAGCATGGTTGGTCTGGATGGTAATATTTCACTTGATGCACTGTCTTAGGTGCGGCGACAGCTTTTTAGTCCAGCCCGTGCAGTTCTAAGGCCTGGAAGACTTGTGATTACGGACGAGGCAATTAGAGGGTAGGTCAATCCTAAAATTCATACAGAGACTATGGCTGCTTCCATTTGCGCATGAAATATTGTCGATCCGGATACTGCAGAAATAATCCACAGCATTATCAAAGAAGAATTTGCCGGTTACACTGTCATAGCCATCACGCACATGTTGAAGAGCTTCTTGTATTTTGATGCTGCGGCGTTTATTAGGGAGGACTTATCGTAGAGTACGGCAGCCTACATGGTTTACGACCTACACAAGAAGTCGTAGCTAATGAAAGCTTTATGAGTTATTGGACATTTCTCAGATGCACATAGAGCCACAAATATGTATTAACAAGCTTTTCATAGCCATAATATCATACGATACAGGGTAATTACAGTATTAGACCATGTACACGCTAATATAAGTGCCTAAAAACCATCCATACCCCGGAACACCTGATATAACCGAACCTCGTATTTACATCTAACTCCTTGAGTTTCAGAATGTTTAGTCCCTCAAAGGACTTAGCGACAAGTAGATACACAAACAAAATACCTAATAATGGTTAAACAAAATTAAACCAAAACAGGGAGTTTTTCTGCCATTTAACCCATCATACTGCGAGAAGCAAAGATGATACCTGTAGCTGCTAGTATGCCAGTTGATTGATGGCAGCTTGCTGTCTGAGAATTCTTTGCATAATTACTTGTATCAGGACATCTGTAGCTTTAGTCTTGAGCTGGTGTGCCATTTTGGACTGAAGAACCGAACAGATAGCCATCGTTCGCTGGGTGGTCAACCACCTGTTGCCTGTTGGAGAAGCGCCGAAGCGAGGTCTGAAGCACTCAGGGGTAACCCCAGACCCCCACTATTACCTTAGTCACGCCGAAGGTGTTTTGATGTGAAAAAATACAAGCAATACAAATTTTTGAAGCATATATTATCCAAATGCTCGACGATGAGTTGAAGTTAGATATACACAAGCATTATAAGATTAAGAGACAAGCCGTAAAACAGAAAGACCGATGTAATGCACAAGCGATGTGCCTAGCTTGCGAAGCAGGGCCAGTTTTTGGCAGACAAGTGCTGCAACACAAAAGATCAAGAAACGAAATATCCTCCTTCGACTTCAGTAGAACTTAAAATTATCTCATACATTGGATACATTGATTCTTTTCCATGCCCTGCATTCTGTGATTTGTTCGAGGAAATAGCTGACGTACAAGTTTCAGGATAGTTTTAGGACTGGGTGGTAGTACACTATATCAGCCAATTAATGCCAAGACATGCCAAGACCTGTCAAATCTTGCCAAGAGATGAGATCGCCTGAAACAAAATAGCACCTCCAGAAAATCCTGCGCTAATTAGAGCATCTTGAGAGCAGTCACCACTTTCAGTAAATGTGCAAGAGAAGAAGATAATGCTTACGTTTAGAATTCTGGCAACCCAAAAGGTTCAATTTTTTTTTTCAACATCCCCAGATTGTAAATACGCGTTGGCATAAAAAAAAAAACTTTGATTAAAGCGAGATATATAATAGTATCATTGTAGCGATTATAACACTTGTTACATTGTATACGATTCCAATTATTCACCATAGACTAGGGAAATTTAAAACAGTTCTATGCCGGAATAGTAAGATTGTAGAAGTCGGAAGCAAAAGCTACCGACTTTTCGATCCACAGTAGCTGCGCCATCCTCCTTAAGACAGCGCTTCGCCCCGTTATAATAACTACGTATCAGTTTCATCTCAAGCCGTTGTCTCAGAACCCATGTAATAATTAGTCTCCCCTTACACCTACTAACAGAGGCCCTCTGTCTAAATATAAATATCAAGGCTCGTCGCCTGCCAAGACTTCATTTTTAATTATCAATTCTCAGTACCTTTTTTTACAACATTCATTCAATTCTTCAACCTTTGTGTTTTTTCTATTTCTTATTGACATATTTATTTTTTTTTATCGAAAAACTCTCTTGTTTGACACAATGAAGTTCACTTTCGCTACTATCATTATTCCTTATATCTTCCACAGCGCTCTGGCAGCGCCTACTAGAATTGAGCGTGCCCTTGACGAACATAGACCTGTGGAGAGAGGGTTTGACATCAAAGATGCATACTCTGTGAAAGCTCGTGAGGAGTATATCCGAGTTACCAACGATGCAGATGCCGAGGCTGGAACCCAGGTAGCTGCTGCTGAAGCTACCAAGACCGTCGCTGCTGCCGCCTCTGATGCTGAGACTTCAGCAGCAGCAAAGGACGATGCCGCAAAGAAGGGCAAGGGCAAGGGCAAGGATAAGAAGAAAGGCAAGAAGAAGGGTGAGAAAGGCAAGAAGAAGGGTGAGAAGAAAGGCAAGAAGGAGGGCAAGAAGGAAGAGAAGGCTGTAGAAGCTCGGGAGGAGTCCGAAAATTCTGATGCTGACGCGTCTGCTGAAGCTACCAAGACCGTCGCCGCTGCCGACACTGATGCTGAGACTTCAGCAGCAGCAAAGGATGATGCCGCAAAGAAGGGCAAGGGCAAAGACGAGAAGAAAGGCAAGAAGAAGGACAAGAAGAAGGGAAAGAAGGAGGGAAAAGGAAAGATGGGAGAAAAGGGAAAGAAAGAGGGAAAGGGAAAGGATACGGAGAAGGGGGCCAAGTCCACCGCAACTGAAGCAGCAGCAGCCAACTGAAAGACTCAAGTTCCAACTGCAAGCTGGATTTGCAAAGGTTAATTGGGGAGTCAGGCACTTGAAATAGCAACAGAATATGACCATATTCATTGTTTATCCTTTACTATAAAATTTGATTCAAAGTATGAGCAAGTTGTGGAGATATAATAAAACTCGTCTACTAAAAGACACACATGCCGTGAAAGAAATACTGTTTTCTTCATTTAAGACACCTCACCCATACAGTGGCACCGTAGATAGTGTTTGCGAAACAGTTACAAAACTCCAAATACTAGCTACAGTGCTTGTATACACTGCACTCCTATGAAAATTAGTGTTTTTATAAGGTTTAAAAATACAAAGAAAAAATAAGAAGTATAACAACAAATATAACTTCTTTTGCCCATGATCCCAAGGTTTCATGTCGTTGGGTGGGCAAAATCGGGATGCGAGCAGGATTGGGCGAATTTCTTTCCGGCCGCGAGTAGTAAAATAAAAACCCCACCGATATTAAAATATCTTCTCATTCCCAGTGACAAAATATAAATGCAACTAATGGCTAAAAAAAATCAAGCAAGAGCTACTATTCGCGTTATTCTCTGTAGTTGGTTGCTAGCTAGGCAACTAAGGGTACACGTACACTGGGCTGTATAGTACTTCAAGGTAATCATTACAGTGTATCACACGCCTCTGCAAAGCTGGATGGTCCTATATGAATATTAGCTTCTTTCTTTACTAGTTTCAACAGACTATTGATAATAAAAGCCTTCGCATCCCCCAGGCGAATAAGTCACTCGTGGTAACTATGCAGAGCCACCCCTTCTAGGGCAAAATGAGATCTTCGGCGTACGCATTTGCTGCCTGTTCGGTCAAATCTTTATTGAGAGATAGAGCATCGTATGGATATCGGGAAGGAGATATCCAAGCCCAAGCATGAGAAAATCTTCAGCTTTGATTGCTTCTATGAGCGACTCTAAAAGCGACTTGATAATTTTGTCGTCGATACTAAATCTCCCCGTCCAAAATGGCGGTCAATACGTCAAAGATCCGGTTGGGAAAATTAAAACACGAGACTGGTACGCGGTTTGCGTCTTCGTGGTAGAGCTCACGCCGAGCGTTGGCCCCCTTGAGCTTGTTGAGAGAGGCGTAGGCGATACCTCTTCCATAGTGTGGCATCACGAGTAACGCAATAGGAGCCCCTGTCCATTAGGATGGGTAAAGGGAGAACATGGTCGCACATATTGAAATGGATGTAAACGTGAACCCAATCAAGGAGAAAAAAAACTCGAGCCAATCGGCCGTAGGCGGGGACTTGACTGTGAGCATCTCCCTGGAAATGGTTGATTCCATTCTATCGCATGCTTTCAAGGACTGCTCCTTCTGGCCTGCTAGCATGCAATCGTAAACTGGGGAGTGATAGTCGCACAATCGGTAATAGTTACAGAAGTTCACCCCACCGTGCTTAGCAATATATCGGTCGTCGGCGATTGTGGCTTTATGGTTGTATATGAAGCTAAAGTATTCCCTCATAAGGACTTCAGTGTGCTTCAGCATATGAACCATATGATCTACATTACGGTCAAGATGGCGAATAATGTTGTAAGCTATTAGAGTAACTTCGGGCTTGTCTAACCTCTCCATAAGTTGAATGTAGAGATGGAGTATGCCTGCGTGGCCTCGTGCACCGGGCGTGGCCAGCACGCGCTCTAAAATAACACGAACTTCAAACACTGGTTACGAGGCGATGGACTTGCCAGTATTGATATCGATAGTGGTACACACCACTCATCGCTTAGGACTTGTTAGCGGTAATCATTGGAAATATTATTGGAAGAATAGCGCTTCTCAACAGCTTCAATCAAGACCTTCTCCACCAAGAAGATATGATCAACCTTCCCTAGATCAATCTGAGCGATATTGCGGTATTTTGGAATAATCCGGGCAAGGTCATTAGGGTCGAACATAGGCCATGTCTGGTTGTAGTTGGGTCCTGTGACATAGGCAAAGCTCTCCCAATAGATCATATAGGCGCACTCCGGATCATGCACAATGCACTGCAGAAAGCCGCTAACTTTGGCCTACCCAATCATCCACCTAAATATTTTTACAATACCTGCACCGCCTCGCGAAGAACTGCAAGGCTTGCGATTCCTGCCGTAGGTTTAACCCGCTGAGTGACTTTGAGACTGCTTCGTCTAGCCCCGCACTCATTTTTGATATATAGGCAAACGGAAGATCAAAGGCTCTGGTCATAAACTGTGCCCCCGATGAGGACGGTTCGGCTTGGAATTTCAATGCCATCTAACCCAACAGATGGGCGGGCCGTCACATTTACGATAACCACCAGACATTTCTTCGTCAGCAAATAGCCCCAACGAAATCAGTAGAAATGCAAGTCCAATTGATGCCTCCAAGGCTCCTATTCCAAACTTACGTGACAATTCCATGACGTTGGGCTCACAAAAAATCCCCGTGATATTTCTGACTCGTCAATTGGATCCTTTTAGGTGCTATTCTGGTCTGTTGAGCTATTCTGGGGATGCTCATTCGCAGCATATCCAGGGGATTTCTGCGAATTATGGCCATGAAACATCTAATCCACTCCGAGGCTTCGAACAAAAATAACATCCACACCTTAGTAACGCAGTGTCAGTTCGTCAGTTCGCGGAGTCGATCTGAAACCGTCTCTTAAAAAGGCTGGATAACTCAAAAGGAGCGCCGCAGTTCATACAATTCCTTAGATATCCAAGAGATTTGGCACATCGGGTCTTTTCTTGCAGTTCAATTCATATATCGACGGCTTTACCTTCGAAAGCCACTAAAAATGCGCTTCTTTCCGCCGTTCTCATGACGAGCATGATTTCAGCATCCCAGTTTTTTATTCCAGATTAGCAGGAGTTCTCTACAGAGCGTTGAGTTGAACTATGCCCTGTGAAAATATTCCTCGGGTCTCAGAGCAATAATGAAGAGCTGGCAGAGTTCCATTTACAGAAATATCGGTAATAACCGCTGTTGGCTGAATTAGACCATTTGTCACAACTCTAAATCTTATTTATCGAACTCTAGCGAAGGTGGCATAAGATAGGATATGAGTGCTACGTTTCAGGCCAGTCTTATTTGAAGTTTGCGCCGTAGGACTGACAAGAGTCCGCCAAATTTTATCCCCGGTCTGTGGAGCTGCAGTCTTTTTTTTTAAGGGATTGTATATCCGGTATCTACATTTAAGTAAATGGTATCTATAAAAGCAGGACTTGTGGTTGACAGGCTAAAATCTTTATTTATTCTTTAATATTGGCATTTCTAGTGTTTTACTAGGGAAATTTCTTATTAAATAAATATATAAAAACAGCTGCAGGTATAATAATATTAGTATATAGTTAAATTAATATTAAATTAAAGCTATTTATAATATTATTATTATAGAGTTATTATTTAAGCATTAATTTAAATTTATTAATAAAGCTAAAGCTATTATAAATATAATAATACTGCTGCTTAAATTTAATATAATTAAGCAGTAAATTTAATTTAATAATATTAAATTTTATTAATAATAAAAAAAAAATTTATTAAAAGTAAATTTTATAATTTTTATTAAAAAATATTATTAAATAAACTTATAGTAAATTAATTATTTATATATGTTTATTATAGGTTAATATAATACTTTAAGTCTTTAGATTATTTAATATAATTATAATAATAGTATTAATAAATATAATTATAAATTTCTACTGCTTAAAGTATACTTTATATATTAAAATAAAAGTACTTCTAAAAAAATTATTATTATATACTTTTATAATATTAAAATTAAATTAATTTAAATTTTTATAAAAATTTAGCTTAAAAATATTAAAAATATTAAAGATTTTATTTATTATAATATTTATAATATTATATAAAAGTATTTTTAACAAAACTTAATTAAATATATAAAAATAAAATAACTTTATAATTAATTATAAAATTAAAATATTTATTATTATTAAAACTTTAAAAATTAAAAAAATTAATTTATAATATTATTTATTACCCTGCAGTCTAGTATTAAGCTTTTTTTTTTATTTTCCTATAGTTTTATTTATAAATTATATTTATAAAATAAATAAATTTAATATACTTTTGTTTAATATTATTAATATTATATTTTTTAAAAAAAAGCTTTTAAATTACTGCTATATTTTTTATAAAAAAGTCTTAAGGCTATTATACTTAAGCTTTAGGTATTTTTTATAATTTATTATAATAATATATAATTCTTTATTTATAAATAATAATAATTAATTAAAAGCTTGCCTTTATAAAGGCTTTAAATTAGTTTTTTATAAAAGCTATATATTTACTATATTATTAATATATTAATATAAATATACTAGTAAAAGTAAAAAAACTTTTCCTTAAAATAACTTAAAATAAAAAAAATAACTATTGTAAATAAATACTATAGTTTTAAGTATTCTTTAAGTATTAAAATAATTTATTACTGCCTTTATTAAAAAAAAATATAATAAGCAGCTATAAGTTATAATAATACTATAGCTTAAGTAAAAGGCTTATTTTACCAAGGCCTTAAAATATATTATAATAATATAGTTATAGCCTTAAAAATTTTTTTACTATATAAAACTATTTATTATATTTATTAAATATAGCTTAAATAATTAATTATTAATATAGTATTTATGTAATAACTAAATTAAACTTTTATTTAAAGTTATTAACTATATAACTAAAACAGCTTATAAAATCCTTTATATTTCTTTACTAATATAAACCTAGTATTAAAGGTTTATTTTTTAAAAACTAATTACCTTATACTAGGTATAAGATTAAAATATTATATATTAATAACTTTTATTTAAAAAAATACTTTAAATTTTTTAAGTAATTAAACTACTATATTTTAAAACAGCATTAAAAGTTAACTTACTTTAGAAAAAACTTTTTTTTTATTTAAGATAATAATAAAAATATTATTATAAAAAAGACCTTTAATTAAAAAAATATAAATAATAATAAAGCTATTAAGTTAATAAAAAATATATATAAATTAAATAAAATTTTTATAGATAAATTTAATAATAAAAAGTTTATTAAAA